ACTTGTCTACGGAGGTTGAAATTTCAGAGCAGGCTGAAAATAGATTAATACCTTGCCCAGCAGGATTTTATTGTGAAACACAGACAATAGAACCAAAGCCATGCAGAGCGGGGACGTACACAGACCAATCAGGCCAAACAAATTGCTTGGATTGTCCAGCTGGATTTGTATGCAGCGACATTGCGACCATCCAACCGACGGTATGTCCAGCAGGATACTACTGCGAGTCGAACTGCTCGTCGCCTACTCCGTGTCCCATCGGCACATACAGCAGCTCGCTCGGACTCGAGGCAGAGTCTGAGTGCCGCCTGTGTCCGGCGGGTCGGTACTGCGCCTCAGTAGGTATTACGCAGAGCACGGGGGAGTGCATAGCGGGGATATTCTGCGAGGCAGGGGCGAATGACTCGTCGACGCTTGTCGACGTGGAGTCGCCCTCAGGGCGGCGGAGAGTCATACCGTGTCCAGCGGGGCACTACTGCATAGCAGGGTCCGAGGCACCCTCGCCTTGTCCTCCAGGGACCTACTGTGCAGGCGGAGACTCTCTACCCGCTCCATGCGAGCCCGGGACGTACAACCAGGAAGCGATGCAGACGAGCTGCAAGCCATGTCCGCCCGGGTACATCTGTAGCCCACGCGCAGTCGTGGACTATGCGAGAGGGCGAGCGTATGCAGTAGAGGGGCTCGAGGCGTGCGCCGATCCTGACGTCGGGATGCCGAGCTGGACGCAGGAGCTGGTCGGAGGGGGCGGCCAGTCTGATAGGCGGGGTAGCGCATGGACGGGACGACAGCCGGTATGTCAGCGTGAGCGTGTGGAACCATAGCGGGGGCCAGGGAGGTGCAGGGGGGATACGAGGTCTACGTAACCAAGCACAGGGTGGACGGGACCGAAGTGTGGAGAAGGGAAGTAGCAGGAGGCGAAGGAAGCACCATGGCGGAGGGGATCGGAGTAGACGAGGCGGGGAGTGTGTACGTAGGCATGCGGTGGGAGACAGGGTCCAGGGTATCGAGTCTCGCGGCCTCGACAGGAGGTAGCATGTGGTCAAGGGACCTGGGAGAGATGATGGCTGGGAGCCGGCTGGGGCTTGCTGGGGGGCAGGATCACGTGTTTGTATCTTGGCGGGGGGCGGGTGGAGGCTCATGGCTGTATAAGTACAGCGGGAACGGAAGCTTAGCCTGGGGCAGGAACGTAAGCGTGAGAGGGGATGAAAGCATCAGAGCAGTAGCAAGCGACGTGCTGGAGGAGCAGTCGTAGTAGCGAAGTGTACAACGGGTCTGCGGGAGCTGCACAGGAGCGGGATGTCTATGTCTACCATGTCAACAAGACGGGGTCCATTGATTGGACG